AGGCACTCTTATGGGTGCTACCCTGTCCAGTGTAAAAATAGATACCATTTCAAAGACAATGACTAGAGATGATTTGAAAAGATACTTTGTTGATGTCATTTTGGTGAATATGAACTTGGCCTGACAACCATAGGTGAAGGAGGTACAGCTAGAGCCATAAGACCAGAGGAAAGGTTTTTAGCCACCTAATCCAGTGCTTAGAAATATTTTTTTTTACACTGAAGAATATCAAAAGTCATCAAGAGTTGGTGTCAGGACATTAAAATTATTTGAAATACAGTGGGGCAATTCAAAGGACTGACTACTGAAGGCCATAGGACAGTTCTCTATTTACTTACATGTATCATTCTCTTATGTGTCACAATAACCATTCAGGCCTCAGTCTCTTTGGCTTGGACCACTTATAAGAATACATCATTTGTACTTTCCTATGAAAATACAAAGATTTTTTTTTGTATCTTTTCGATATAAGTTCGTTGACTTAAATATCATGTGTTTAGGCTTTCCTGATTCTGGTGAATTACATACTGAGAGGTCAAACCACAAAGGATCATGGAAAAATCTCAAGTCCAAATACTTGTGAATTGTGATCATAATGTTTATCAGTGCAAGTAATTTTGTAACACTACATTACAGATTCTTCAAGAAACCTGAAAATTAATTTGTAATAAAAGGTCTTTAAAATTTGCCATTAACAGTAAAGGAAAGAATATGAATTCATCTTTTTCTTTAAGCAAATAGGACAGTTTATAATTTAACATTGAATAATCGGCAATGAGCTGTAGGTTAACCTCATTTATAACCCTCAGATTTTTAACATTTGCATCATTTATATTCCCATTTCCCAAAAGGCATAACATTAAGTTTGTACCAGAGAATGAAAAGATATTGCAGTGCTTGTTTTTTTTTTTTTTTTTTCATCTTTTTTTTTTTTTTTTTTTTTTTTTTTTTTACACATTTTTGAACTATTTTATATTGTTACTCATTTCATCTCACACACACACAAAAATATTAATACTTTTTGAAAAACTTCCCCTTGAATAATGCAATTCAAAAGTAATTTTTTTGTATCTTTTTCTCTCTTTTTGTGCATATGTGATTTTCTCACATATTAGGGGGATTCTTCTCTCTTAATCTATAAAATGATCCTGACATTGGTCACTTGAAAGGCTACCTGGCATTAATAATAATAACAATCTTCCGAGCAAAAAACAAAAAGGATATATGTAACACTACCGTCAAGTATCAGATCTGCTCATTTGAAGGAATTTGAGTAAACAAAATCATAGAATTTATATTTTGTATCCGGTACATATACCAGTTCTGCAATAAACCAGGCAAGATCACCTCTGATACGGCTGTTACAGTAATCGCGAGCACAGATCCATAGAAACAGCATACAATATACGTGCCAGTAGTACAGACAAGGACCTACGCAGAATGTTCTTTAGTTGGATGGGTGCTATCACAGAGAGTGCGGGACTAAGATCACAAATATCACAGTCCAGTCCATCGGTCACACAGTATGCCAGAAGTAATAGCTTCTTCGGCAGAATTTGGGTTTTTGGTTAAATCGACAAAAACTCTTATAATCATGGTTATGCATCCATTCAATATTGAGTTATAATTTTGGTGTGTGTGTGTGTGTGTGTGTGTGTGTGTGTGTGTGTGTGTGTGTGTGTGTGTGTGTGTGTGTGTGTGTGTGTGTGTGTGTGTGTGTGTGTGTGTGTGTATGTGTGTGTGTGTGTATGTGTTGTGTTGTGTATGTGTGTGTGTGTGTATGTGTAATGTGTGTGTGTGGTGTGTGTGTGTGTATGTGTGTGTTGTGTGTAAGTGTGTGTGTGGTGTGTGTAAGTGTGTGTGTGTGTGTGTAAAATACATATACTATTTTATCTCCTATTTGATCAGTGAGTCTCATAATACATAGAGCAAGACACATTGAGCTCAATAAGCATTGCTTCTGGCACTGTTAGTTTATTGTGATGTCACTTGTTATTGCACATAGACAGGAGAAAATACCAGATATCTACAAATCGTTCTTTTCACTTTTAAAGTAAAAACAAACGCATTTTTAAAACAGCTAACAGTAAAAACAAGAGGTTTCATTTTGAATATATAGTTTGATGTTCAGATTGCTAACTAGGACGTATGCTATCTACAGACATACAAATTCCTTGTTGCATTGTAATAACACAACAAAATGAGTGTAATATATTGCTCACTTATTGCATATTTCTCATTTACCATTACAACTTGTTTTTAATCTTGATATTTTCTCCCTTTATCAAGTTCTACATGTAAATTAAAGCTCTGAAAAAACAAGCTATTAGTAATTAACTAGGAACTCTTCATTCTGGGTCCCTCTGTGTCTAAACCCCTTCTGGTTTATAGATCAAACAATACTCAAAAGTCATTTGATCTACACAAGGGAACGCAGTCCAATCACATGCCTTTATTCCCTTCTTGAGAACAATTTATTCATTTCATAAAGGCAAATACAAAATCAATCTAATCCTGTTTTATTTTTTTACAAAAATATGGCACACACTTCCTTTGTGTTGTTACAAGAGCCCAAAGTTGAGTGTGTATTGAGAAAGTCTTTGTAATTCAGTACACAGTCAAAGTAGAATAGTTCTCAGGATCTTGGGCAACTTGCCTCTGTCCCTTTGCCATAACAAGTATCTCTCAACAGTAACTCACAGTCACTTACATACCATAGACACAAGTAGCCATTCATACAGTCCATCTCTGACGTTGGAAACTCGCTGAGAGATGCTTGTCTGGAGAATTAGAGAACCATAGAAACATGTCTGGGAAAGACTGCATGTAACAAGTAAGAGATCAACATGCAAGGTCTTTGAGATCAAACTCTGTAAGAGAAATTGTGACCTAAATCAGACAAATATAATCTTTGGTAGATATAAGATCTATATTATTTTTTACAGATACTGTTTTTTTTCCTTTTCCCTTCATCGTTCGGGGGCTGTGTAGCCTGAGGTGTAATATGTTCAGAGATTATTTTATAAACTGAGCATTGAAATTTTGAGGATTGATGACAAAGGCTTGTCATTCCCACATAATTCCATTGTTTCAAAATTCAATAAGAATAAGAGAAAAAATGAGAACATATTACTACCCAGCACCTGATGCCACTGAGAGTCAAGAGGGCAAGGGATTGACCACCTTATTGACCTTTGACCTTTTGACCTTTTGATTCTCTGGGCTGAGGGCTACAGTTTCAGGACGAGTTCAGAGAGGATCTGGTTGTAGTTGTGTTCAACGTTGAGGGAAGGGAGAGAAATGGTTCGGTCTCCATCTCGTAAGTTCACCATCTCCAGCACCTGCTAAAGAAGTATGACACAGGTTAGGCAAGAAGATATCTCTGAACTAATGTGTTTTTTTTTTTTTTTTTTTTATTGCATTTAAGGTTATAGCTTACAATGGTACTCTCACTCTCTCACACACACACTCACTCTCTCTCTCTCTCTCTCTCTCTCTCTCTCTCTCCTCTCCTCTCTCTCCCTCTTCTCTCAAAGCTCTCCTCTCCCTCCCTAACCTCTTACTCTCTCGTTTTGATTTTACTCCTCATTTCCAACCCCCTACCTTCACTTCCATCATATTCCTTCCCTCATCCACTTCCTCTCACTCCTCACCCCTCTCTCACTCCTTCCTCTCCTCATTAACTCTTCCTTCGGCCTTCCCCAATTACCCTCACTCCTCCCCCCCTCTCTCCGCCCTTTCCCTCTCCTCATTACTTCCTCCTTTTCTATCCCTCCTTGTCTTCCCCTCTCCCCACAATCTCTCCCTCAATATCCCCCACAACCCCTCCATACCCCCTCTCCCCTCCCCTTCCTCTCCCTCCATCCTCCCCTCCCTCCCTCTCCCCCACCTCTCTCTCCTCTTCCTTCCCTCTCTCCTCCCCCCCTCCCTCTTCCTCCCTCCCTCTCCCTCCCTCTCCCTCCTCTTCCCCTCCCCCCCTCCCTCCCTCCAACTCACCTGAGGCCCTTGCTGCCTGACCCCCAGTGGCGTCGACGACCCCGAGGACACAGGTGTTCTGTCGGGCAAGAGGGGCAGGATCGACTCCGTGACGGCGCTGACTAGACACGGGTCTTCGTCGCGGAGAACACGTGGTAAGACCGTTGATGGCGGTTTCTTCGGCCTGGGGGAGAGAAAATGGCGGGAATTTTTTTAAATTTTTGTGTGTTCGTGTTTCGTTCGGTAGGTAGTTTTGTTTGTGTTTGTTTGTTTAGGTTTTTGGGTTGTGAGGTTTTTGAAAATTTTGTTTGTCTATTTCGTTCGTTAGGTAGTTTTGCTTGTTTGTTTGTTTAGGTTGTTGGGTTATGAGGTTTTGAAAATTTTGTCTATTTCGTTCGTTAGGTAGTTTTGTTTGTTTGTTTTTGGGTTTTTTTTTGTTATTTTGTGTTGCTTTGAGTGTGTTTTTGTTGTTTTTTTGGCTTACGATTAATGTCCTAATTATTTTTATTGTTCTCGATATCATTTGTTACCAATATAACCTAGAAAATAATCATAACAGTATGATGATGATAATTCCGATAATAATGATAATGAAAATGATTAATGATGCTACAGCTAATAGTGATATTATTATTGCCATTATCATTATTATTATTATTAGTAGTAGTAGTAGTAGTACTAGTAGTAGTAGCAATAGTAGTAACAGTAGTGGTAGTAATGATAATAATGATAACGGTAATGATGCTACTACTACTACTACTACTAATGATAAAAAAATAATAAAATAATAATAGTAATGATAATGATAAAGAATAATAGTGATAATGAAATCAATTAAGATGACAATAGTAATAACAATAATGATAATAATAATGAATTAATAATGATAATAATAATATTATAATAATATAATATAATAATGAATATTATAATACTAATAATAATAATAATAGATAAGGATGATGATGATAATAATAGTAATAGATATATTAAGGATAATAATAACAATAATAATAATTATAACT